GATCCCAGAACTCCGTGATCATGACCTGAACTGAAGGCACTCAACTGACTGAGCCATCCAGGTGCCTCCATAACGTTTTTCTTTAAAAGATTTATTTAGGGACGCCTGGGTGGCTCAGTTGGTTAAGCGGCTGCCTTTGGCTCAGGTCATGATCCCAGCGTCCTGGGATCAAGTCCCACATCGGGCTCCCTGCTCAGCAGGGAGCCTGCTTCGCCCTCTGCCTCTGCCTGCCACTCTGTCTGCCTGTGCTCACTCTCTCTGACAAATAAATAAATAAAATATTAAAAAAAAAAAGATTTATTTATTTATTAGAGAGAGAGAGAGAGAGGCAGTGCGCAGGGAGGGGCAAGAGGAGAGGTAGAGAAGTGGACTCTGCTAGGCGCTGAGCCTGATGCGGGGCTGTATCTCACAACCCTGAGATCATGACCTGTGCTGAAAGAAATCAGGAGTCAGACACTTGGGGCACCTGGGTGGCTCAGTCATTAATCGTCTGCCTTCAGCTTAGGACATGTTCCCAGGGTCCTGGGGTTGATCTCCGCATTGGGCTCCCTGCTTGGCGGGAAGCCTGCTTCTCCCTCTCCCACTCCCCCTGCTTGTGTTCCCTCTCTAGCTGTGTCTCTCTCTGTCAAATAAATAAAATCTTAAAAAAAAAAAGAAGTCAGACACTTAACTGACTGAGCCACCCAGGTACCCCAAGAACATAACTATTGATTTCAATCCTTTCAAATTTCTGTGTTTGTGGTCCAGTCTACAGCCTATCTTGAATATTCCATGTGTACTTAAGAGAAAATGTATCCTGTTGGTGCCCTGTTCTATGTTAATGAAGTCAAATTGCTTGATCGTATTGTTCAATCTTCTATATCCCTGATGATTTTTAGTCCCATCAAGCACTGAGAGAGGAGTGTTGATATTTCCAATTATAATCATGGATATCTATTTCTTCTGTTAATTCTGTCAGTTTTGCTTCATATATTTTCAATCTCTGCATTTGTATGCAATTGAGTGCATACAAATTCAAGATTTTTATTTACTTTATTTTATTTATTTTTTAAGATTGTATTTATTTATTTGACAGAGATCACAAGTAGGCAGAGAGGCAGGTAGAGAGAGAGGAGGAAGCAGGCTCCCTGCTGAGCAGAGAGCCCGATTCAGGGCTCAATCCCAGGACCCTGGGATCATGACCTGAGCTGAAAGCAGAGGCTTTAACCCACCGAGCCACCCAGGCGCCCCAAGATTTTAAAATATATACATATATATATATCTCCATCTTATCTCTGTTAATACTCTTGGTCTTGCATTTTACTTTGCCTGATAAAAAAATTTTTTTAAGATTTTGTTTATTTTTTTGGCAGAGAGAGATACAGAGAGAGAAGGGAACACAAGCAGGGGGAGTGGGAGAGGAAGCAGGCTTCCTGCTGAGCAGGGAGCCCAATGATGCGATGCGTGGGCTTGATCCCAGGACCCTGGGATCGTGACCTGAGCTGAAAACAAATGCTTAATGACTGAGCCACCTAGGTGCCCCTTACTTTGCCTGATATTAATGTAACTACTCCAGCTTTCCTATGATTGTTTCATGATACATCTTTTTCCATCTTTTTACTTTTAGCCTGCTTTATTATTCAAAGTGTGTTTATCAGATATTTAGGCCTTGCTTTTTAAAATCCAGTTTGAACTTCAGAGTCATGCTGAATATCTACTTCTCTGACTTGCTGTTTCTGTGCATTTTTAAGATTTTTCTATGCTTATGTGTGTAGTGGTTATTAACGTATACTGGTCTACGGTATTACCGTTCTGAGGCAGGCATACAGGCTGTTTGTAGTTTCGGACTTTTCCAAACAAAGCTGCTTGGAATATTCTCGCTCTTGTATTTCTAAGCTAACATGCCGGGATGAAACTGCTGGTTGTGAGGTGCATGTTTAACTAGTTAATGTTAACTCTTTCCAAAGTGGCTGGTACTTATTTATCTTAACATCAGCACAGTAAGAGTTCCTCAAATTCGGCACATCCTTGCTGATCTACTGACATTCTAACACTTCTGGCCACTTGAGTCTATAATAATAGCCACCATTTAATATTCACGTAAACTGTGCCCAGCCCTGTCCTGCGTACTGTGTGAATGATCTCATTTCATCCTCACAAGAGTCCTATCGATTAAGAATGTGTGGGCACTTATGGCCAAGAGAGCAAGTCTTCATCCCTCCCCTATCTACTTCCCTTCTGTCTGGGCCTGGTGACCATCTCATGTCTTTCTTCTCCCAACTTGGGTTGGGGGTGGGTCCCAGCAGGGCCTCAGTCCTGCCCCATACCCTTTCCTCCTCAGGTTGTTACTCCCTGTCAGTCCGCCTTAGCCACCCTGCATCGTGGGACCGGATCAGACACTACAGGATCCATCGCCTTGATAATGGCTGGCTGTATATCTCACCACGCCTCACCTTCCCATCACTCCAGGCCCTAGTGGATCACTATTCTGGTATGGCCATTTCCCGCTTCCATTAGCCTGGGACGTGGGGTGTGGGGGGCAGACAGTTGTACTCTTGGACACTTCACTTGCTGGAGAATATCCAGACAGGCAGAAGAGGGACCTCTGCATCTCCATACCAATGTGCCAAGAACGTAGGCCAGGACCTCTGTCTTCATCCCATGCCCTGACAGAGCCATAAAGTCCTCCCATGTGAACATGGGCCAGTGCCTCACCTACACTGTGGTTCTGAGTCCAAGACCTCAATGGTAGGCACAGTTCTCTCCACAGGAACTAGGCCCAGAGCTGTTGCTGTTGTGCAATTTAGTTGACTCTCAGCATTTCCTGGTGCTTGTCCTGTTATAGGGACTGGAGCATGTAGCCACGATGGCAGTGTCAAAGGGGGCAGAGAGGAAAGCCCACTCCTGGGAAAACTGATCAGGGGTTTTCTAGAGGGTGGATCTGTGCAGTAGTTACAGACAGAACACATAGAGATGAAGTATTCTCTACCTTTCTTCTTCCAAAGCACTTTCCTAACCAGAAACTGGTATTCTCAAAGAGTACCATCAACCTACCCAAAACCACAGCCAATTCAATCTTCGAAACTTAGCCTAGAATGACCTGATTGCATCTCAGCCCCTAGATCAACAGCTTGAGGCTTATGTCCTGTCACTTTTTAAAAAAAATGTAATCTCTACACCTGGGGCCTGAACTCAGGACCCTAAGATCATGAATCTCTATTGACTGAATGAGCCAGGTGGCCCTGTCATTCTTTTTTGAACATGCCTCCACATGCCAAATGCGGAAAGCTGTCAGGGTGAGGGTGGGGGTTGTTAGGGAGGAAAGTGGGGCTGGAGTCAGCCATGTCAAGGGTCTGGATCTCTTTCTTCAGAGTTGGCGGATGACATCTGCTGCCTCCTCAAGGAACCCTGTACCCTGCGGAGAGCTGGCCCACAGCCTGGCAAGTCCATAGCCCTACCTGTGACTGTGCAGAGAGCGCCACTCAATTGGAAAGAGCTGGACAGGTAAGGGGACCCCTGGAACATGAAGGCAGAACAAAGGAGATAGAAGGACCCAACCCGGGAACTCACAAACCCAAATGAGCCTGTCACCTTCGGGGACACCGGCAAGCTGGTGAGTACTGACTGATCTCATAGAGACCAAGCCAGGCTCAGCAGGACTGTACGGGGACTGGCAGGAAGGAGAAAGAGGAAGTGGATAGAGGGCATGCCCAGATGCCAAAGATGGCCAGGATGGAAGTGTCAGACAAGATGGGGTAGAACAGAAAGCACCAGTCCTGAAGGGAAAAGTCAAGCTGGGGTTTTGGCTGAGAGAATGGGGAGCCACTGGGAGTTTTCAGGTGGTACGAACTTGAACTGTGTGGTGAGAGCAAGGTGCAGGATGAGGCTCCTTGACCCAACTCTCTTTCCCTCTCCACAGCTCCCTCCTGTTCTCTGAAGCACCTACCCTAGGGGAGTCCCCTCTCCTCAGTGAGGGGCTGCGGGAGGCCATCAGCTCTTACATGAGCCTAACTGATGACAGCTCCTTGGATGATGCCATGGCCCAAAGCAGAGGCCAAAAGGGAATCCAACGCTGCAACACCTAGACCCCCAGCTCAGCTCAGCTCGAGCACTCTAGAGGCTCTCAGGGTCCCACTTGCATTCTGTGCTCCTTTCTCTCTCGGCCTTAAGAAGTCACTTAAGCCCCTCCCAGTGTCACAAATCCACCTGCAACCTCTAATTCAAGTACAGACCAGCTGACAACAGAGACAGGGCTCCAAAGAGACTAAACCTCTGGGATTTGACCCAGTTTGACCTGAGTTGGGACTTCCATCTTCCTCCCCTGCCTATTGGAGGGGAGAAAGATGGAAATCTGCCTATTTCCTCCCCTTCAACACCCCCCACAGCTCCACCCACTAGGTAGAAGCCACCATTAGTATCAAGAAGAAAAAAAAATCATTTAAAGAAAATTTACAAGTCTCACTCAGAATACCATACTTTGGAAAGTAGGACTATAGCTAGAAGGGACAGGAAAGCAGATGGGATGGATGTCTTCCCACAGCAACAGAACCCGGGATGTCCAGCTTCTACCTGGACCTCAGAGCAAAGGGGATCCCTGACAGTCCAGGTTCTCAAACAGCCCCATCAGGCCTCTTCTCTGGACAGTCATAACTCCCAAGGTCACTATTTCATTTTGTGGCTTATCATGTGAACCTGCCTAACCTTTCCTGGCTACAGTGGCCCTGCCACCTTGTGGCCAAACACAACATGGCACCTTCTGGGTCTAGCACACTGCAGTGAGGTCAGTCACGTCTCTCAGCACCAGGCAGGGGCATCAGAAGTCACTAAGCTTCTCTCCACAAAGCCAAGGCCACAGCCTACACCAACTCTAGCCCTTGATTTCTCTGCTGTCCATTAAGGAATGAGAGGCCTAGCTGGAGCTGCTACAGGAGCAGGGAGAGGAGGTGAAGGATGAGGTTGGAGGGAAGGGGTCTGAGGCTAGAGGTAAGGTGGGAAAAGCTTTAACAGGTATCATCAACAGATTTTCAATTAAAGATTTGATTTATTCAAGTACCCGAAAACATTCTACAATGGAAACTGTTATTAGATGATGCTTATACTGTGCTAATGACCACGCACATACTGCCACACTGTTTTCAGAAAACTTGAAATGCCACTGATAGTTTAAAAACTGTACACCTGATGGAGAAGTGAGGAAGACAATTTAATGTTTCATCCGGATCCAGAGGTGCATCAAATTAAACGACAGCTCCCATCAGCAAACAGGTGTTTCATGATGATATCCAAGAAGAAATGGTTGGTGATGGACAATTCAGAAATGCTTCTCCAAAAGGCGGTTGGTTCTTTAAAAAGTTTCAGATCACAACCCTTGCAGAAAACACTGATGCCCAACACACTGATTCTCGGTCCAGGAAACACGGGTCTTCCAGGTTCCACGTGGCTGGGGTGTCCCTACAACCATGTTTCTGTGCTGTAACTATGATGGTCCTTTCGACCGGACAGAGAGCAGGCGGGGTCTGTACACCATCAGTCATAGTGGATGGCAGTGTAAAAAATGATCCAAATAACCTAGAGAGAAGACAAGCAATGGTCATAGATCCCCTGGGTCAACAGAGGCCCCTATTCCACAAGAGAAATATGTCAAACAATGTATGCACGGTGGGCTTCCAAGGGCTATTCAGTGCAACTGGACTGGAGGCCTAAACAATTTCACTGAAATCAAGCTGTGTCTAACAGAGACCAGGGTCACCCACCAGTGCTCCTAAAGGGACCACAGACAAGCTTCCCTCTCAACCAAATAGTGACTGCAGCACTCGGGGGTAGAGTTATAGATGTGGAAATGATACGGGTAAAGTATCAGGATTAACAACAAATGTGGAAAAGAAACCACCGACATATCCTGTCAGCTTGTCAGCTTCACATCAGACAAAGCACAGGTTCTCAAAACCGGCTATTCACTGCAATCTCCCGGGACCTTTAGTATGTATGCCCAGGCACCCTCACCCAGCGATTTTGATTTTACTGATTTGAGCTAGGGTCTACAATTTTTTAAAAATTAACTTTTGAGATATAATTCACATTTCATAAAGTTCACCTTTTAAAGTATATAATAAATATATATATATATATACACGCACACACAATACAGTTTTTAGTATATTCACAGACTTGTGCAAAGATCACTAACTGATTCTGGGACATTTGCATCATCTTCAGTTTCTTCCCATTTCCTCACACACACCCGCCCCCACCCCAGCCACCGGCAACCACAATCAACTTTTTATTTGTGTGGATTTGCCTATTCTGGACATTTTACATGTAAATGGAATCACGTAACCTTTTTTTGTGTCTAGCTTCTTTCACTAAGCATAATGTTTTAAAAATTCAGAGTTGTAATCCCTACCAGTACTTTATTCCTCTTTACGGTTGAATACCATATGGCTATACAACATCTTATTTATCTACTGACCAGGTAGTACTTGTTTATGCTTTTTCAGCTATTATGAATGCCATAAACCTATTTTTTTTAAAAGATTTTATTTATTTATTTGACAGACAGAGATCACAAGTAGGCAGAGAAGCAGGCAGAGAGAGATAGGAGGAAACAGACTCTCTGCTGAGCAGAGAGCCTGATGCGGGGCTCGATCCCAGGACCTGGGATCATGACCTGAGCTGAAGGCAGAGGCTTTATCCCACTGAGCCACCCAGGCGCCCCGCCATAAACCTATTTTTAAATGTTTCCCAATTTCTACTATGCAGCCAGATTTGAGAATCAGATGTAGAAGCTGATGACAGGCCCTGGGTGTGTATACCAACAGGGAGACTGCAGTGTACCGTACCACATCCTTTGGGACAACAGGACTTGATGGAGGAAATGCCCTCCAATCCCTTGAGCCTTTTGAAAAATGGCACCCCGATCACACAGTGTAACCCAATCAGTGTGCTCCGCTGGAGAAACAAGAGGATTTACTATTATAACTGTCAGCTATACATACCATGAACAAGGCAAAAGATGTCATAAATCCCTCTTTTGTGAGCTCCCATGTGCCACCATATTCTTCCTCATCTATCTGTAGGTAGTTGCTGAAGTAGAGATACAGGACTCCTGCATTGATCAGGCAGAATCTGGAGGGAAGACAAGCACCGAACACAAACTATGAGCTCAGAAGACTCAGAACTCCCACAACCACAGTCCAGTCTTACCAAGACACTCACGGTTGCAGTTAAGTAGTTGCATCATGGGGGCAAGTGAAAAAATACACGGACCTAGACCCTCAATGGAACTGCCTAGTGGCTGAGCTAGAGACAGAAAGAGCAACTTTTTTTTAGATGCCCAGCAAAAAAAAATTTTAAATTTAAAAGCACATAAAACTTCTCCAGGCCCTCTCACAGTAAGACAACATGGTAGCTGAACCATCCCAAATAGGACTAGTACTGGACATGGGCCTCCAAGTAGCTCCCGCTGGGGTGGGGTGGCTACGGGACAGATACAAGTTAGGCTGCTACTTCCTGGCCTAGTGGAATGAGCAAGCACACTAAAGCAGCTCCTGCGTCCATTCCCACTGGGAGACAGTGTCTGGATATGCACTGTTGGCTACGCACCTGATGCAATGGTGAACACTGCTGTCCCTCAGCTATTGGTTAGGAGGAGGCCAAAAACAGAGTGAGCAGTGAGCAGGGAACTGAAACCAAAGGTTTGTGAGCACCTCCAGGAAAGTCTCTGATTCCCCATCTTGTATTATTTAACTAATAAAGCATTTAGAATGCAGTCAGGTGTAACATTATCATCCTGATCTACTTATCTCTTCGTATAGTCACCATGTAAAGGTAATTTTTATGAACACATCAACACTTTATGATCTTCCAAGTCACAGGATCTAATCTATTGGGGGACTGTATGTCTTAGGTCACACTGCTCCTGAAGGCTGGGGTGGAAAAATGCAAAGAACTGGTTCCTCCTAATGGATGAAGTGTGGGCTGGTATAGGGCAGGGCCGTACAATGCTGCTGAAGAGTGTTAGTCAGTATTAGGGGGCAGACCCTGAGGCTGTTTAAGCATGAGACAGACTATACATATGTCAGAAGTCCAGTTTTTTCATTTTCATTTTAAAGATTTTAAGTAGTCTCCACACCCAACAGGGGCTCGAACCCCCAACCATGAGATCAAGATTCGCATGCTCTACTGGCTGCGCCTGCCAGGCACCCAGAAGTCTACTTCGTGAGTAGTTAGAGTATGGGCTTTCTCATGAGTTGGGAGAACAGGAGCTGGGAGACTGATTTAGACTTGGACCATGTTTTAGGACATGAGCAGAAATAAAGCTTGAGGACAGGGACTGGGAAAATGGCTGGATGGAGAGTCAAGAAACCCAAAGGCTTCAAGCCTAAGGGCCCGGGAGTATAATGGTTCCAGTTAACAGGCAGGGAGTCAGGAAGAACAGAAGGTTTTTCTTGGATTTCACACAAAATCCAGTCCTTGACTTGGCCATGTTGTGGCCACATCCTTATCTTCTGCCAGGAATCTTGGGACTCAGCCAATCTGGCTGCCTCTCTCTGTCAGGAGTTTCATTTTGTTTTGTTTTTGAAAGACTGGCTTATTTATTTGAGAGAGAGAGAGCGCGTGCATGCATGTGCGAGTCGGCGGGGGGGCGGGAAGGGCAGGAGAGGGAGAGAGAATCCTCAAGCAGACTCCTTGCTGAGCGCAGAGCTCAGTGCAGGGCTCAATCCCACGACCCTGAGATCACAACCTGAGCTGAAATCCAGAGCCGGGGACTCACCTGAGTGAGCCACCCAGGTGCCCTGTGGAGTTTCATTCTGGACAGGCTGTTAGTGGTTCCAGACAGACTACTAGCAGGACTCAGAAATGTCACTCTGGGACTCAGTTAGTAAGCTAGGGATGGAGAATGGCTGAGACTCATTGAGAGTCTCTGGCTGTAAAAGTGGTTGCTTAGTGATAAGAGATCGGGAAGTATAAGCAAAGAGGAGATACGGGATGACAGAGAGAAAAGAGCTAACACAGCCCCCACCTTCTAAGGGTCACAGAAACACAGGCATTTAAATGTTTGGTGGTCAAGGGGGAGGGCTCAGGAAAGGACTGGAGCTCAAACTGAGCTTTAAGGATGGGCATAAATCCTATATTATAAATGAGGGAGAGAACTACACAGATGTGTAGACAAAGAAATGAATGTGCTGAATTGGGGTTGGGGGAAAAAAACCTTAAAGAGACTCTCCAATCCATTTTTAACTCTATCCTAAAAATTCCAATCAGAATTTTAACAAAATAATGAACCTCTAACAAATACTCTGATTTCAGGGCTGGGAGGCTACACTGATAACAGTAAGGTATGACCCTGCTTTTAAGGATCAGTGGGAATTCATTTTGGGTTTTAAAAAATTTTAACAAGCATTCACTGAACACCTATTAATCGTGGTGCCAGGCTCTATGAGAGATAGAGAGGCAAGAAGGGAAGATGCAAAACTTCTGCACCACCACTCAGTTCTCAAAGTATAAATAATGAGAACAGAGAAAATGGTTTTACCTTAATATGCCCTGACTGTCGCCGTACCAGAATGAAGACAACCCAAGGTGGAGCCCAGAGAGAGGGCAGTTAAGGCAGAAAGCGACGAGGAGAGGGTCACCAGAACTGAGCACCAAAGCAGTCTTGCCCTAAGCCCAGGCAATTGGGTCAGACAGATGGAGGAGAGGGTGTGTGTGTGGAAAAATAAATGTCCTTGGGCCTTTTCCAAGAGCAAGGGGAAAGGTGCCAACCAAAGGAGGGATAGGATTTGTTTGGAGTGAGAGAAACTGGCTTTGGCAGGACAGCCTGGGACTAAACCCCAGGAAACAGGCAGTCCTGAGAAAGTGGTACTATGGGTGAGCCACTCCAAGGCAAATTCACTCCTAAACACCTCCTTTACTGGTTTTTTTTTTCCTTTTTAAAAAAGATTTTGTCAGAGAGAAAGAGAGAGAGAGAAAACAAGCAGGGGGGAACAGCAGGCAGAGGGAGAAGCAGACTTCCCTGCTGAGCAGGAAGCCTGATGTGGGACTTGATCCCAGGACCCTAGGATCATGACCTGAGCCAAAGGTAGATGCTTAACCAACTGAGCCACCCAGGCATCCCTTTCCTCTTTTTTTAAAGATTTTATTTATTTGGGGTGCCTGGGTGGCTCAGTCACATAAGTGTCCGCCTTTGGCTCAGGTCATGATTCCGGGGCCCTGGGATTGAACCCCGTGTCAGGCTCCTTGCTTAGTGGGGAGCCTGCTTCTCCCTCTCCTTCTGATGCTCCCTGTCCTTGTGCCCTGTCAAATAAATAAATAAAAATTAATTTAAAAATTTTATTTATTTATTTGACAGAGGGAGAGACAGCACAAGAGGGAACATAAGCAGGAGTGTGAGAGGGAGAAGCAGGGAGCCCGATGTGGGGCTTGATCCTAGGACCCTGGGATCATGACCTGAGCCGAAGGCAGACGCTTAAGGACTGAGCCACTCAGGCGCCCCTCCTGGTTTTTTTTTTTTTTTTCTTTTTTCAATAGCCATTTTTAGCTCTCTTTGTAAAGCTAATCATATGACTGCAGTGAACCATTTATGGAGTGCATATGATGTACTAAGCACTACATTTAGGAATTTACTTGGGTTATCTCATTTAGTTCACACATCAGTCTTAGGAGGAGGACACTTTTAGTGTCCTCCCCTTTCCAGTGATGAGAGAATGAAAGCTCAGAGAGGTGAGCCCAAAATTATGGAGCTTGAAAGTGGCAGAGCTGGAACTTGAATCCATTATAGAGTTAAAAGTAAAAAGAGATCTCTAAATAGCTTAACTCATCTGCCACAGTGGCAAGGATAATAAACTAACTCGTCTTTGCTATATTATTCCTAGATTGGGTGACTTCAGAGAAATCTCTTAGGAATCCTGCAAGATGAGATGGGAGCGAGGGGTCTGAACCCGTGTTACTCTCTCCTAGAAAAGTGGTCTTGGGAAAAAGAGGGATTCCCTCTTGTTTTCAGACTGCCTTCCCCCTTTCTCTGACTTTTCTTGTAGGCCTTTTCTTTTACAGAAAGCTCAAATAGGATGACCAACATTCTGAAGAGTTATCTATGTACCTCCTCCAATGGGGGAAGACCTATGAATGCCAGGTCCTTTGTCTCCTCACCATCACTCAGAACTCATCACGTGTCCACTCCGTCAAAGTCAGGCAAAGCATAACAAACTCGAACTCCTTCCTTGGACAAATGCTTTGCTCAGTATCATAAATTAAAAACCTTTTTAGTTAGAAGAGGAGATTATACATGCCTTTTGGATTATCTTCTGAGAAAATAAGGAATTCACAGGGATTTGAAATCTGTTTCACCCTTTTCACCCTACGGTGAGGGAATAAGAGATGTGATCACCCCTAAAACAACCAATGTGATATTCCATGGTTAAGGATCATAGTTTATATTCCGGGTGTGGAAAAAAAAGAAAAGTTCACAAGCTTGCCTGTCCATTTCCCACTGTAGCTTACCCACAATTCCTATCTTGAGACTACTCCTACACATCGTTTTAATTCAGTCTGGTGGGCATGTGGACTCATCACTTTTCAGTCGCTTGTTAAAAAGCTGAGCCAAGACCGGGGTAGGTGTCAACTGTGCTAGCACCGGCCATGGAAACACAGTAAAAAGTGAGGGCGCAACCTCCTACTTTTTCACTGCTTTTAAAAAGTAGGAATCTGAAATAACTTCTGTCAAAGCCAAGTTCTAAGACATCCAGCACAGTGCCTGTATAAGGTCATCAAGTACAGAAGTTCCTCTACTTTGCAAATTTCCATTGGTACAAAGGTCATGCCAGAAAACAAGATGGCTGCTACCAACAGGCAGTGCAGTAGCCTCTTGCATGAGATCACTTTGGATCCATAAATGAATGGACTGGCCCAGTCCGGTCTCTGGAAAAATAACATTTCTAAACTAAGATGCTCCCAGGCCTGCTGAACTAAGAAATGCTGCACCTAACCCAGGAGTGCCACCGTGGGGCTAGTTTCCTGCTTTTGTCACTTTGCTCTCTCACCCATACAAAGTAATCTCCTCCCCTCTCCCTAAGTCATCTTAAAATGTGTGTGTGTGTGTGTGTGTGTGTGTGTGTGTATTCCTCCAACTTAGTAATGGCCCTTTCCATAAAAAGGAACAAAATCTCTATGTGAAAAAAACTGATACAAGAAAATGGAACATACCCAAGACTTACCCAGCTATTCCCAAGAAACCTCGCAACGGTAACACTCCCCAAATAACACCTAGGACCACAGCAATGATCTGTCGGAACCAGTAGATCACATCTAGAAACTCATCCTGTAGAAAGAAAGAATGCATGCATTATCTGCAGTGAATGCCACATGAAAGAAAGCCTTTGTAATAGGTGAGGAATAAAAAAGCTTGCTGCTATAAACACATTTTCCATAGAAATGTCTCCAAGAGCAATGGTACGTAGTTTTCTGATCTCCACTTCTTCTTATACTAAAACATGGTTTAAAAGAAAAAAAAAAAAAGATATATTTCTCTTAAGTGATGACTTTTGGGCCTGTGTGCTAAGTAAAAATTCTAGGGAAATTATTTACTTTTATTAGAAGCTTCAAAAATGAAATGGCTTGTGATGAAACGGCTGTGAAAGTAACTGTGCTACTGGCCACAGAACACTGACCCTCAGAGGAGAGACCTAGGCACACTATCCATAGGCAGAAGGACTGACTGTTAACCTTCTCAGCACCATCTTCCTGCGCACTGAATTTTAAGCAACAAAGAAAGGAATTAGAAACAAAAGTGCTGAAGGCAAGTGCCAGCGTATCTGATTTTCATACAAGGACGCTGAAGACTCAGGTTTCCGACCTGCCCCAGATTGCAGAAACCAGTCCTTGTACAAGAAGGAAGAAAGAAATGACACAGCAGATTATAAAGGTTTTGCAAGAGCTGGGCAGGGCTGGGGGCAGGACAAGGGGACCTTCAGGAAGTACCTCCCATTCCCCCCCACCCAAGAGCTCCAGGAAGGAGAACCCACTTCAACAGTCCAGAAAAACAAGGGAAAAACTGCAAATATAACATTCTTTTCACGCCAACTGGAACCAAGCTGTCTGTGCTGGTCCCTTCCAGATCATGGGGCAGAGCTGGGGAGTGCCTACACTCAGATCTCCTGAAAGCGTGTGACCAGTGTAAAAATCTTGAAGCCCCAATAGTCTCTCAACACACATTTGGTGGTTTCCCCCTCTCCCTCCCTCTCTCACACACCTCCAAGGCTGGTTTCAATCTCTCTTCTTGCAGTTATTAAGGCATTTGGTATTTCTCATCTAATTAAAAGCAATGGCAGCTCACCTTCAGTAAGCCTCATCACGTGCTAAAGGCTTTCCGGCACCACGGTACCCCACTCCAGAGCTGTTCTGAGAACTGAGTGAAACAGTGCGTGGAGAGAGCACCTGGCAGAAAGTCTTCGGTAGAAGACTGTTACCGTTACTGTTCGTACTAACGACCGTATTAAGTAATTAATTCGGAGAAGACAAGTCACTTACTGAAGATCCTACTGGAAGCAAAAGGCGGAGGTCGAATTCAGCTCACTCTCGCCGTTCAGGCACACGCCCTGCCTGCGGGTGGCAACTCCTGTGCCCCCTCCTCGCTGCTTCCCGCGTGACCCAGTCGGCTTCACTCCGCGGTGAGCCCCGAGCCCGGCTGTCAGGCCTGGGTCCGCCAAGTTCGCCCCGACACCTTAGTGCCACCACCACGCCGTCCCACCCCAACCCGACCCAACACACGCCAAACACTCCGCCGCGCCCGGACCCGGCAGGCTCGGGCCTGTCCACTCGTCCCCGAGTCCCAACCGGCTCCTCGAACCTGCGCCCTCGCCAAGTCCCACCGCACCTTGTCCTCCCAGGCCGCGTCGCTCCGCAGCACCTTGCTCCAGACAGAGACTTTGAGGGCCCCGTTGGCCAGCTGCGGCTGAGGCGGCTCCTCCTTTCGCCGCCCGCCGCTCATCCTCCCGTCGCGCCGCCCGGGCCGGGCGAGGGGCGCGCGGGTCAGGCCAAAAGGAGTCGGGCTCTGGGGTCGCGAATCACGGCGCGCAGGGCAGCGGCGACAGCGACAGAATCACTGGTCAGGCTCCGTGGCGCGCTGCTGTTGCCTTCACCCGGCCAAAACGCCGGCTCGGCTCGCTGGCTCCGCCGAGACCAGGCGCTGCGGAGGGAGGAGCAACGCAGCGCCGCACGTCCTCCCGCCGACGAACCCACGCAGCCAATCGACAGCCGTGCAGCAGTCCGAGGGAAAGCGCAGCCGTCACCTCCGCGCAAGCGCTCTACGCGTGACGGAAGTGACGCAAAGCTTCCGCCAGGCGCACGGTATGGTGAGAGGGAAGGGACAGTCTAGGTGGGGATGGTGACGCGAGCGCGGGGAGGCGCTGTGGCGACTGGAGAACGGCATCTGGATAGAGAGTCGAGGTTAGACTTGAGTGTCGCCCAGCCCTCCACGGTTTGTCCCCTACAGCAGCGGGGCAGAACGCTGCCCGGTTTATCCGCGTCTTTTGGAGCCCAACACTGGCTCCCCGGAAGTCCCAAGCCTCCCCTTCAGGATTTAGTCCTTGCTCGTTTTCTCCCCTAATTCCTGGGACCCTCTTCCAGATGTAAACTGTTTTCTGTATTAATTTCGTGTCTCATCTTGGCCCAGCACCCTTTTTTGGCAAATGTGAGACCCGAGATCCAAAAAGCGGAAAGGATTTTCTAAGGCTACATGGCAAGTTGGAACCGGCTGAGAACTCCGGGGGCAGGGGGCGGGGTCGGGGGAAAGGAGGAAGGACTTCATTAGCTCTCAGAATATCTGAGTATACATCTACTGTGTCCTCAGCATGTGCTAGGACAGTGGTTCACAACGTGTGTGTCTGGACCACCAGCAGCCACATCACGTAGGAACTTGACTAGACATGAAGATTCTCAGATCCCATCCCAGAACCACCAAATCAGAAATTGTTGGGAGTGCGGCCCATAATCAGCATTTTGGTAAGCCCTCCAGGTGGTGCCCTGTGCATTGTACTATGAATTAAGTTGAGACCAAAGTACTGTGTGGTGGGCAAACTAATGTGTCTGGAATCACTCAGCCAGTATCTGGGTCTGTCTGACTCCAAAATCTGTACTCCTAACCTTAAACTAGTCATTTTTTTTTAAAGATTTTATTTATTTATTTGAAAGAGAGAGTGAGCGAGACAGAGCATGATCAGGGGGAGTGGGAGAAGCAGACTCTACTGCTGAGCAGGGAGCCTGACGTGGGGCTTGATCCCAGGACCCCAGGATCATGACTTGAGCCAAAGGCAGTCCCCCAAGAAACTGAGCCACTCAGGTGACCCTAAGCTTTTAGTCTTAAAGGATATCAGTGAGGTCAGAATATCCTTTTTACACCTGTCAACATTGACCTGTAGTTCTCCCCCTCGCTGAGCAACAGAATCTCCTAGGGAGCTTCTTCCATGGTTGGTGTTTCCAACCGCAACTCAATTCCAAGATCCTCTTCCAATAGATTGAGTGAAGCAGGACCTCAAAGGTGACATACACAGCAACAGACGTTACTCTGTCTGGACCTGATGGGAGGGACATACACCTGACATGAATCCATACCTTTTAGTCCCCCAGCTTTCACGTGGATCTTGTTCTTCCCAGCCCTGCCTTTTTTCTGAACCTTGTTCTCTCCCATATGCAAAACTGTGGTAAAGCCTAACCAGCTCACTCCAGTTTGTAAGTGTACCGTTGGTATAAAACCTCTTTTACAGATTCCCTGGGGGCACGCAGTGATGGAGACAAACTGATCATTCATTCTGTAATAGAATGTTGGAAGAATACCTAGCCCAAGATCCAAGACAGAATAGGTAAGTTTTCAGTCTGCTGGGCCTGGTAGTAAAAGTTTGTAATGGGGAGTTTGGTGTGGAGGGTTAGGAAAGATAGAGCTCTAAAGGAAAAGTAGGAGTTAAGGGGACGAGGGAGGGAAGAAGAGAAGAGAGTGTTCCAGGAGGTGAAACCATGTCAGCTACTGGTGGGGAATAAAGACCTTAGTTGGGAAGGAGTGGGAGGGGCATGCTGAAGAATTTTTGTCTTTTCCAGTTTCATTGAAAAATAATTGACGGAGTGCCTGGGTGGCTTAGTGGGTTAAAGCCTCTGCTTTCGGCTCAGGTCATGATCTCAGGATCCTGGGATTGAGCCCCACATCGGGCTCTCTGCTCAGTGGGGAGCCTGCTCCCCCCACCCCCTGCCTGCTTCTCTGCCCACTTGTGATCTCTCTCTGTCAAACAAATAAATTAAAAAAAAAAAGAAAAAGAATTGACATATATCACCGTATATAAGTTTCAGGCCTACCTCTTGATGGTTTGATTTACATATATTGTGAAATGATATGGTTCAGCTAATTAATAGGTTCAACTAATTCTGTCTTTTCATATAGATACAATGAAAAGAGAAGAAGAAAAAAAATGTTGTGATGAGAAGTCTTAGGATTTAGTCTTTTAACAATTTTCCAGTGTATCAGTACAGCATTGTTAACTGTCGTCCTCATGTTGAACCTTACATCCTTACTATTTATTTATTTATCTCACCTGGAAGTTTGTATCTTTTAACAACCTTCCTCCATTTCCCCACCTCTGTTAACCACAAGTCTGATCTCTTTTTCTGAGTCTGTTTTTTAAGATTCCACATGTGAGATTGTAAAGTATTTGTCTTTCTCCATCTGACTTATTTTTACTCAGCATAAACCTCCAAGGTCTATACATACACAAATGGTAGGATTTCCTAATTTTTTGTGGCTGAATAATATTCCATGGTGTGTAGGGATGCCTGGGTGGCTCAGTTGGTTAAGCGGCTGCCTTCGGCTCAGGTCATGATCCCAGCGTCCTGAGATCGAGTCCCGCATCGAGGTCCTTGCTCGGCGGGGAGCCTGCTTCTCCCTCTGCTTCTGCCTGCCACTCTGTCTGCCTGTGTTCACTCTCTATCTCTCTCTCTGACAAATAAATAAATAAAATCTTTAAAAAAAAATATTCCATGGTGTGTATACCCCAACTTCTTTATCCATTCATTTGTTGATGGACACTTAGATTGTTTCCATGCTTTGGTCATTGTAAATAATGCTGCTGTGAACATGCAGATATCTTTTTGAGTTAGTGTTTTTATTTCCTTATTTCTTAGTGTTATATATTCCCAGAAGTGGAATTGCTGGATCATAGAGTGTTTCTATTTTTATTTTTTTATTTTTTTTTTTTTGAGTGTTTCTATTTTTAATTTTTTGAGGGTCTTCCATATTGTTTTCCATAGTGGCAGCACCAATTTACATTCCCGCCAATAGTGCACAAGGGTTCACTTTTCTCCAGACCCATAGATGTGAGGCTGGACCTCCCCGCCTTGTCTTTTAGGTCATGGCCATGAAGAATTTATTTTTGTCCCAACAGTAGAGGAAGCCACAGAAAGGATTTGAGCAGCGACACTTCACTTTTCAGGTTTGCCTCTTAACAAGACCACTTTGGCTGCTATTTGGAGGACAGGATCAGAGTGGGAGACTAGTTTAAAGACTGTTAAAGTCACTCAGGAGATACTGGCGGGGGCACTGACGATGGAGACAATTGGAATAAAAATGAAAATTCTTTATTTATTTACTTATTTTAAAAAGGTTTTATTTATTTGAAAGAGAGTGAGCGAGAGAGAGTGAGAGAGAGAGCACATGAGCAGGAGAGAGGGAGAAGCAGACCCCCTGCTGAGCAGGGAGCACAATGTGGGGCTTGATCCCAGGGTTCTGGGATCATGACCTGAGCTGAAGGCAGATGCATAACCAACTGGGCCATCCAGGTGCCCCTAAATTCTTTTTTAAACTTAAATCTTTTTTTTTTTGCTGTAGAGTATACATAAAAAATTTTACCATTTTTAAGTGTACAGTTTGGTGGTACAGGGAAGTACATGTACTCTGTTGTGTAGATGCTACCACCATCCTTTTTTTTTTTTTTTTTTTTTTTTAAGATTTTATTTATTTGACGGACAGAGATCACAAGGCAAAAAGGCAGGCCGAGGAAGGGGAGGAAGCAGACTCCCTACTGAGCAGGGAGCCTGATGCTGGGACAGGACCATCGGATCATGACCTGAGCCAAAGGCAGAGGCTTTAACCCACTGAGCCATCCATTTTCAGAACTCTTTCATCTTGCAAAACTGAAAGTTTTGTGCCCTCAAACTAGTAACTTCCCAGTCTCTCTTTGTCCCTGCCCCCAACAATTGCCATTCTACTTTCTGTCCCAAATTTTCCTAAGTACCTCATTAAGAGTGGAATCACACCGTGTTAGTCCTTTTCTGATTTACTTATTTCAGTTAGCATACTGTCTGCAGGATTCATCCCTGATATAGCCAGTGTCAGAATTTCCTTCCTTTTGGAGGCTGAATAATAATTTCACTAAATGTTCGTTAGGTGTTCATTGTATGTATTGTTAGCCTTAAAAATAAAACTCACTGGGGCACCTGGGTGGCTCAGTGGGTTAAACCTCTGCCATTGGCTTAGGTCATGATCTCCAGGTTCCTGGGATTGAGCCGGGCATTGGGCTCTCTGCTCAGCGGGGAGCCTCCTTCCCCCTCTCTCTGCCTGCCTCTCTGCCTACTTGGGATGTCTCTCTGTCAAATAAATAAATAAAATCTTAAAAAAAAAAAAACTCACCTATTTTCCTGGAAAAAATGAGTTTATTTGGGAATAGCAGAGTATTGCTATTTGGGACACCCAAACTACAACAAAATGGTAGGGAAATCTGGAGAACAAAGGAGAGAAACCTGCTTTTATAGAAGAAAGGGAGTGGGGAGGGGCTTTTATAAACAAAAAATCCAAGTTGGATTAATCTAGGAGTTTGAAGTCTGTGGGTTTTCATTGGCTGTAACAGTTGTAATGGTCTTTCATTGACTGGGATGTTGCTGGGCAAGGAGATCTTTCTTCCTTTTGTCAGGGTAGTGAAAAAATAGGTTTCTTCCTTTTGGGAGTGCAAGGTATGTCTTTCTGTTGGGGCCTGCAGTTGATGAAGACTTACAGGGTGTGAGAGCTCCTTCTGCTGGCCTCCCAACTCCATTTTATTATTTAATTTTTAAAAAAGATTTTCTAAAGATTTTATTTATTTGACAGAGAGAGAAAGCCAGAGAGGCAACACAAGCAGGGGGAGTGGGAGAGGGAGAAGCAGGCTTCCCGCAGAGCAGGGAGCCCGATGGAGGGCTCTATCCCGGGACCCCGGGATCATGACCTGAGCTGAAGAGAGATGCTTAACAACTGAGCCACCCAGGCGCCCCTTTAAAAGACTTTAAAAAATTTTTAAATTTATTTTTAAAGATTTTATGTGTTTATTTGACAGCGAAAGCACAAGTAGAGTGGCAGGCAGAGAGAGAGGAAGAAGCAGGCTCTCTGCTGAGCAGGGAGTTGGACGTGGGGCTTGAACATGGGGCTGGATCCCAAGACCCTGAGATCATGACTTGAACCAAAGGCAGATGCTTAACCCACTGAGCCAGCCTGGTGCCCCTTGATAATCGCCAACCTAATGGGTGTGAAGTGGTATCTCATTGTGATTTTTATATGCATTTTCCTAATGATTAGTGAGGTTGAGCATCTTTTCATGTGCTTGTTGGTCATTTGGTTATCTTTGAAGAAATGTCTGTTCCAGACCCTTGCCCATTTTTTTTGAGTCTTGTCATTTGTTTTTTGTTGAGTTTTAGGAGTTATATATATATTCTGGATATTAATCCTTTATTATTTATGTAATTTGCAAATATTTTCTCTTGTTCTGTGGGTTACCCTTTTACTCTGTTGATAGTAGTATCCTTTGATACACAAAAGTTTTTAATTTGGGGGATGCCCTGATGGCTCAGTTGGTAGAGCATGTGACTCTTGATCTCAGGCTCGTGAGTTCATGCCCCTTTAATAAGTAGAGATTACTTAACAATTTTTTGAAAGTTTTTAATTTTCATGAAGTGTAGTTTGTCTAATTTTTTGTTTTTGCCTGTGCTTTTGGTATCATATCCAAGAAATCACTACCAGGGTGCCTAGCTGGCTCAGTTGGAAGAACATGTGACTCTTAAAAAAAAAAAAAAAAAAAAAAAAAGATTTATTTATTTATTTTAGAGGAGAGGGGAGTGCAGAGGAAGAGAGTCTTAAGCAGACTGTGCACTGAGCAAGAGCCCAACATGGGGCTCGGACTCACAACCCTGAGATGAGGACCTGAGCCAAAACCAAGAGTCAGACGCTAAGCTGGCTTTGCCACCTAGGTGCCCCAGAGCATGACTCTTGGTCTCAGGGTTGTGAGTTCAAGCCCCCATTGGGTGTAGAGATTTACTTTAAAAAACAAAACAACAGGGAGGCCCGGGTGGCTCAGTGGGTTAAAGCCTCTGCCTTCGGCTCAGGTCATGATCCCAGGGTTCTGGGATCGAGCCCCACATCGGGCTCTCTGCTCAGCGGGGAGCCTGCTTCCTCCTCTCTCTCTCTCTGCCTGCCTCTCTGCCTACTTGTGATCTCTGTCTGTCAAATAAATAACTAAATAAAATCTTTGAAAAAAAAAAAAAACAACAACGGAAAAAAAACCCTTAAAAAATTGCCAAATTAATGTCAACAAGCTTCTCCCCTGATTTCTTTTCTTTCTTTCTTTTTTTTTTAAAGATTTATTTATTTATTTATTTGACAGAGATCACAAGTAGGCAGAGAGGCAGGCAGAGAGAGAGGAGGAAGCAGGCTCCCCACCGAGCAGAGAGCCCAATGTGGGGCTCGATTCCAGGACCCTGAGATCATGACCTGAGCCAAATGCAGAGGCTTAACCCACTGAGCCACCCAGGCGCCCCTCCCTTGATTTCTTATAAGAGTTTAGTTTAGCACTTATGTTTAAGTGTTTGATCCATTTTGAGTTAATTTTTTGTTGTTGTTTAATGTATATTCTATGAAGTTATGACCACAAGATCAAGAGTCACATGCTCCACTGACTGAGCCAGACAGGTGTCCCACTGAGTTAATTTTTTTATATGGTGTTAGGTAAGGGTCTAACTTATTCTTTTACAAGTGGATATCCAGTTTTCCCAACACCATTTGTTAAAAAGACAGTCCTTTCTGCATTGAATGGTCTTAGCGCCTTTGTTGAAAATCATTTGCCCACATTATGTGAAGGTTTATTGTGAGGCTGTCAAATCCCATTCCTTTGGCCTTTTTTTTTTTTTCTGTCTTTGTGCCTATATCACACGGTTTTGATTACTTTAGCTTTGTAGTAAGTTTTGAAATCAGGTGTGAGTCTTCCAACTTTGTTCTTTTTTTTTTTAAAAGATTTTATTTATTTATTTGAGAGAGATCACAAGTAGGCGGGGTGGGGGGGGAACAGGCTCCCTGCTGAGCAGAGATCCTGATTCAGAGCTTGATCCCAGGACCCTGAGATCACAACCTGAGCTGAAGGCAGAGGCTTCACCCACTGAGCCACCCAGGCACCCCAACTTTGTTCTTTTTCAAGATTGTTTTGGTTTTTGGGGTTCCTTAAGATTCCATATACATTTTAGAACAAGTTGTTCTAGTTCTGTAAAAAAAAAAAAAAGTATCTGGAGGGGCGCCTGGCTGCTTCAGTTGGTAGAACATGCATGCAACTCTTGATCTTGGGATCGTGAGTTCAAGCCCCAAGTTGGGTGTAGAGCCTACTAAGAAAAAAAATCAGTAGGATTTGGTAGAGATTGCAGTGAAGATCTATAGGTAAGTCTTCCAATCCATGAACACAAGATACTTTTCCATTTATTTTTATCTTCCTTAATTTGATTCAGCAATGTTTTATCATTTCTTTTGTTAATTCTTAACTACTTTATTCTTTGTGATGCTATTCTAAATTGAAATTTTAAAAAAATTTCCTTCTTGGATTGTTCATTGTTTGTGTATAGAAACACAACTGATTTTTGTGTGATTTTGTATTCTGCAATTTTGCTGAATTCATTTATCCTTTTTTTTTTTCCTTTTGTTGGAGTCCAAAGGATTTTCTACATATGTGATCATATCATCTGTAAATAGGTAACTTTATTTTTGCAAGAAAAGTTTTATATGTAGTATTATATTGTGAAGCTCTTATCTTAACTGAGACTCATTAAGTTTGTGATTATATGGGGGCGGGGTGTCACAGAAAGTTATATTTAGAGGGTCCTTAGATCCAGCCCAGCCTCAGTGTCACACAGCAAGTTAGAGGTTCAGTAGGATCCGAAACCTGATCTGTGTTCCTCCTCTTAGCTTTCTAGGAGCAGACAAAGCCAAGCTGGGAGCTATCATGGAGAACCCTTGCCTAGAGGATATTTATGGGGCTGAGACTTGATCTCTTTGTGCTTTCACCCAAGGCTCTCCTTATCTTAGGAAGTGGGGAGTCTGGCTGAATCCCAGTGCATCCATCTGGTTAAAATAAACATGCTGGGTGGTCTAAGATGGAAAAGAACTTGATGAAGAGTCAGATCTGGAAGTGGGAGAGAGATTTGGAAGTAGGACAGATTTTGCCTTTGTGAGGTTGGAACTTTCTAAGCACCAGTTAAACACATGATCTCAGGCTTGGGGCCGAGTATGTCCTCTCAGCTGAATGCCTCTATGCCACTGCCAGCTGCTTGTAGGAGAGTTTGGAGGGGAAAGTGTGCTCAGAGGGGTAAGACTGAGGGCCCTAGACAGACACAGATGGAGTCACAGAAATCAAGAGTCCTGTGGGGAAAAATCCATAAGCCATGGAAAGCGCACTCGTTGTGAAGTAGAGGTCTGAGTTTGTATCCAGGTCCTCTTTTTGCCTATGATAAATGTTTTACTAGTACTTAACGGGGTTCTTACTAGGTTCCAGCTTTGCTAAATGTTTTACATGTTTTCCTCCAAAAGCTGGCTGGGCTCTTAACCACTATACTGAACTCCTCTCCTTTATCTTTAAAATTTTCTGCAGTAAATGTGGGTTATTTATATAATTAAAATGACAATCTTAGGAAGGCTACACTTCACCTTCATGCCACCATAGACTCCTGGGAGCTGAGGGGAAGTCAAATGGTTTGGCAGGGGGTAAACTGCTTGGTGGTACCCTTCTTCCTCTCATCTTAAAGCTTTGAAAGATAAGGTGTTGTCTTAACCTCGAACCTTCCTTGGGATAAGTCAGTGTCCTGATCAGGTCCTTTGAGCAATAGCGTGAGAATCTTCTGTGGTGTAAGTGAAGAGTGCAGATTCCTGGACTCTCTGGGGGTGAGGTCTGGGAATTTGGATTTTTGGAAGCTCTCCTGATGATTCTGATACATATTAAAGCTTGAGAACTACTTCTCTGGGTAATTCCTTCCAGTTCTGCCTCTTAACAGCTGTGTGGTATGGGGCAAGTTATTGTCATAGTTCCGTTTTACTCTCAGCCCTCTACTGAGAGGCCAGGTAATAACAATATATAATAATAGTAACATGGAATATCCTATTTCATCCTCCTAAGAGGTGAATATTACTAAGCCCATTTTATTGATGAGGACTCTGAAGTTTGGAGTGGTAAATTGACTTGTCTGGGATCATGACAGCTCATTAGGTGACAGAGCCAGAATCTGAATGCAAGCTTAGATTATAGAGAAGTGCTTTGGAAACCAGTAACATTGGTAGCATTGGTGATTATTATTTCCACATTCCTGAGTTCCCTTCTCTGCAGCTGCAGTGGCTAACATACCAAGCTTACAGCACACCAAGACAGGCTGAGCCTCTCCCCTCTGGGAGTTTTTCTCATTAGCAGTTTCTAAACTAGAGTGTAGTTTTTATTTCCTTTTTTTTTTTTAATTGTTATTATTTTTTTAGTAATCTCTACCCCCAACATGGGGCTAGAGCTCATGACCCTGAGATCAAGAGTTGCATGCTCCATTGGCTGAGCCAGCCAGGCGCCCCGCAGTGTACTTTTTAAATCCAGAGTCGAGTCCAGCCGTAGAGGGTTTTCTTTTTTTTTTAAGATTTTATTTTTTTAAGTAATCTCTGCACCCACGTGGGGCTCAGACTCACAACCCCGAGATCAAGAGTCGCATGCTCTACTGACTAAACCAGTCAGGTGCCTCCAGAAATGCATTTAAATGCTATTTCCTGGGACACCTGGGTGGCTCAGTGGGTTAAGCCTCTGCCTTCAGCTCAGGTCATGATCTCAGGGTCCTGGGATCAAACCCCGCATCGGGCTCTCTGCTCAGCAGAAAGTCTGCTTTCCTGCTCCCCACTCTCTCTGCCCATTTGTGATTTCTCTGTCAAATAAATAGATAATCTTCAAAAATAAATAAATTAATTAAATAATCATTATCTAAAGTGCTTGCTTACTCAGGGGTTCATCAGTTTGAAGCTTGTCACAGAAGATGCTTTTGGTTTCAGTTCTCTGAAAAGTATTTGTAGGAAGCCATTTCTTCTAAGGCAGTCAGACCATCCAAAAGATTTCCCCCTTTAGGGTAATATTAATATTCATTTTCCAGATGAAAATGAGAATTAAATTTATTTTGAAGAGCCCTTCCACAGAATGTCCCTGTTCTGCCAAGCCCTATGGCCAAGTGTACAGTTTGAGGGCTACTGACAGAGGAAGTGGAAAACCAGGATCTTGGATGAATGGCTAAACGCTCTCAAACCGGAGCTCTTTAATCTGGGAAACGTGAATAGGGAGGCACGGACTCCAAATTTCTAAAGGAGAATGACTTGTGGGAGATTGGACATCCTCCATCTGGGTCTGTTGTCATCAGCTGATTTGGTTCAGTATTAGAAATTTCTAGAGTTTAGCCCAAAAACCATATTGGTTAAATGCCAGTAGTCCATGAACTGCCCATCACTAGTTGAAATAAGGTCCAGGCAGATGTCAGGGTGACCTTCAAGTAAGACGGACTTGAATTCATATCCTAGCTCCATTTAATACTGGCTGTACAGTTGAGGCCAATTAATTTAACAAATCCTGTTTCTTCACTTATGAGAAGGGCATCTGCCTTCATTTGTGTATATACAAAAATTAAAGTAATAATGAACACTGGATAGGACCAGGCACAAAGCAAGGGTGTTTACTGCTGCAGGCCTTGACTTTGCACTGTTTGGGCTGCAGTGAAATGTATAGTTGCTTCATTATGAAGTAAATGAAACTCACAGCTAGCTACTTAAGCAAAAAAGGGAAATTTAGGGGTGCCTGGGTGGCTCAGTGGGTTAAGCCTCTGCTTTTGGCTCAGGTCATGATCTCAGGGTCCTGGAATCGAGCCCCCCACATCGGGCTCTCTGCTCAGCGGGGAGCCTGCTTCCTCCTCTCTCTCTGCCTGCCTCTCTGCCTACTTGTGATCTCTGTCAAATAAATAAAATCTTTAAAAAAAAAGGGGGGGGGAATTTACTAGCTTCCGTAACATGGAAGTCTAGAGGTGGTACCAGTTTCAGACATGACTAAAGCATCCATCTCACCTGTGCTGCTTTCTGTGCTGGCGTCATACTGCAGTCCTATGCTTTCCTCACTGGTTGAGGGGGAAGGATAAGGTTGCTAGCTCCTTAAGTTCCCTCACCACTCAGCAATCCCAAAGCTTGAGTGTTTATCCAGGGAAGACTGGTGCAGCTTGGGAAGCATATGCCCCCTGTCCACTATGGTGAAAAGGTTATGGACCAGGGTTGAGGCCAAAGACTAAGGATGCAGGGCGCCCAACACTGACAGGTGGCTGCTAGAGGGGGGGTACGAGTAAGGCCCTGTAAGAACTCAGCAACTGCCCCACCCCTGGACGCGGCCCAGGGTCACTGTGGATCAATCTGTTTCTGCTTTAAAAAGCAAAACAAAACAAAACCCCAAAACAACTTTATTTGACGAAAGACAAAAACAAAAGTTATTTACAGTAGTTTTTTGCTCAAATAATTCAACGGGATAACTGTGCTTCTCTAGGTTTCTCTCACAACCCAACCAAGCAGAGGCTGCCCTACCTCCAGCCTCCCCATCTCGCACAAGGGGGAAATGCCAACCAGAATTCAGCAGCATGGCTCCTCACCCCTCACCACCTCTACTGCTCAGTGCACTGTGGGAAGGAAAAGTCCCACCCCAGCCCAATACACTGCCAGGGGCTCTTGCTATAAGCGTCTTCCAACAGTGCTACCAGACCTGGGCTCAGACATGGGTGGGGTGGAACAGGCTGGGCAAACAGCAGCTTCAGCTGTCTTGAAGCTGCTGTTCTTTCTTCCCCAGCTGGGCCTCAGGAGGGCGAGGATCCCTGATCCCCCTGGGACATGCAAGGACGGGCTGGGGTGGCAAAAGAGAGAGCCTAGGAAACTTGCCCACTCAGAGAGCAAAGCTCCCTCTCCTTAAGTAACTAATCCCCATTCCCACAGCAGTGGGTAGGCCAAGCCGCTGAGAAGTCAGGTAGCCTCCCTGAAGCCTTCAGACATCATCCCAGAAAGGACAGAACACACATTGCTGCCTTTCTCCTGGCCAGGCCCACCCAAGTCAGTCAACCCCCAGGAATCTCCCCCTTGTGCCTGCCTGACTGGCAACTTCAGGAAACTAGAGGCTGAGGGCTCCTGACCTGTCTTTCGGCCCAGTAACATTATTCAGAACAAAAATATTTTGGCTAATAGTAACCTAGAATTAGTGTTTCTTAGGATATATAAAGATGGGGTGTATTGCTGCCAAATGCTGTTAGCAGTGAGACAGCAAAATAAAAAATGGAGAGGAGGGAGAAGAGTAAGACCGTGATCTAGTTCACTGAAGTTCAGAGCAGAGGGCTCTGCAACTCCAATTTAGAGAAAGGTGCAATACAAAGACACAGTGGACAGGCTTCCTAACCGATTTCCAGCCCCAGCCTCCAGAGAAGGCAGCTTCTCAGCAGCTGGGGGCATGTTCCCTGCGTCTTCCAGGAATAGGTTCTTGCCACTGTCATGGAAATAACTGTCCATCGGAGTCAGCTACAAGGGCTTCCTGACCAGTAGGTGGCTCACTTCTCTCCAACTAGGAGCTACTGGCAGCTTTTTCCGTTCTGGCCACACTAATCCCAAGTTCTTACAGGAATTCAAAACTCGGGCTGCTTGGCCAAACTTTCAAGGATAAAGAGGGGAAAACATTAAGGAGAAAAAACAAAACAAAACCAAAAAACCCACTGCCTTGGTCTAGCTTACTTCCCCTGTCCCCCAAAACATAGTAAAAACAAAAATTTAAAAAACAAAACAAAACAGAAAAACGAACAAATCAAACCAATAACCACCTGTCCGGTTTTATCATCCTTCTCTGCTCTGCGCTTAGAAGGTTTGGTCAGATTCTGTATTGGACCCTTTCTTTATTCTTAAAGGCTTTGTGCCTGACGCAGAAAAGCCAAAGCTCAAAAAGGGTTTTTTTGTGTGTGTGTCTTTTTTTTTTTGGTAAATCAAACCAACAATAAAACAACCATTTGGAATTTTGCAGAGATTTAGCTGGTCCCCGAAATAAAGATACTCCTTCCTTGTAAAACACTCACCAGCTGCAGTGGTGCCTAATTCCCAGTTCATCAGATTCCCTCAGGCAACACACATTGACTCCCCACACCTGGGCTAACTACTCCCATTAATGCAAACCCCAGCAAAAAAGGAAAAATAAAGTTTAGTGAAAACCTAAACATTCAATTGGAGTCCGTTCTGTTACATCTGCTGGGTTCCTCTTCTCTTTTGTTCACACTTATGAACTTGGACTGTCCACACTTCGCTTAACACAGAGAGGCCCAGCTCCAGGGCGTAGGTCTGAATGTGGCGGGTGTCCTGTGCCCAGCCAGGAAAGCAGGCTGGGACAGAGGTGTCCTAGGGATTCTCTGGAAAAGCAGCAGCAGCACCATGCCTGTCTCCGATCTCAATCTCATCACTGAGGAGGCCTGGAGAAACGGCAGTTAGCAGAGAGGTCCCCGTCACAGTGCAGTGACGCCAGCTGGCATCTTCCTGCTGAAGACCTCTGGACAGAGGAGATGATCCCGATGTTTGGCAGTGATCCAAGAAAACCCTCTGTATGAAAGGGAACCCAAATGGAAACCCAGGACAGCTGGCTCGAGCCTCGAGCACCCCTTTTGGCAGATGCCTACTTGGGGTTTTCAGAGACTAAGGGGATCGGAGTGTGCAGTAAGGGGGGCGATGGGTCCTGCTGCTTCTGAAGCTCCATCTCAGCAGCCCTCTGTAGCGCCACCTCCACCAGCAACTGGAAGCTACTGAAGTCCTCCTTGTCCTGCTCTGGGGGTGTGGGCGGTGGCGTGTTGAAGAGTCCACCTGTGGGGCTTCCGGCTTCAGCTCTGGTCAGTAGAGTGAGTGTGTTGCCAGGGGTCACCAGGGGCTTCGGGGGCTCCAGCTCCCCTGGTGGGAAGGGGGCTGCTGGCTTTTCCCCCTGGCCTGAGTGGAGTGGCACGGAGCACACGGACAAGGAGAGCACATTGGTGGGGGCTGGTACAGACACAGCCAGCACTGAGGGGCTGCTGCCTCGGGGCAGGGCCACATCTGAGGCCTTACCCCCGCGGCGGGAGATAGTGAATTGATTGGGGTCTTTGCCGTCCTTCCGGAGCATGTCTGGGAGAAGGCGCCGCCGGGCGTTGATGAACCAGTTACATATCTGGAATGCACAGAAGAGGCCGTGATCGGTTCACTCGGTCAAAACCAGCTATGAAGCACCTACGTTCCTGGCCCCAGAAACACGGCAGCAAACAACACAGACATAGTCCCAGCCTTCAGACAAGTTCACGTTGGGAAGAGAGAGTTAAAAAAGAAATCCTACAAGTGAATATAAAATTACAACCAGTGGTGGGGACAATAATGGGAAGACCCAATCTAGTCTTTGTGGACTCGGGGCAGAACTGACAGCAGCAGGCCAGGACACCATGGCACACCACTGAAGGGCCTCAACACTGGCCTGCTGACCTACACACCTTGCACACTGTAGCTGCCTCTCCTGGCCCTGTCTCTTCTCCCTGTTTATCGGCAGATACAGAGCATGTACCAGCTGCTGCTCAGGGCAGAGACTAGAACCCTCTCCCCCTCACCTGTGTGGCAGGATATTGGGAACTGTGTGGAATGCAGCAATGGCTCACGTTTCTCTACGGTTTGGTGAATGGATCAAGGCTCAGCTCTCCTTAAGGCTCCTGTACCAGTTTCTACCCCTGCTGATCACCTCTCCTGGCCCATTTCCAGGGCAAGCTCTTGGTTGCCATCTTCCTGTGGAGTCTGTCTCTACCTAGCCCAAGGGACAGCCACCTAGGGCAGGGGCTGGTGCCTGGAGCTGTCCTGGCTCCTTGCTCAGCAGGTACAAAAGCTCCTCTTTAGGGAAGAGCCAGAGGCTTCTAGTGGCTTCTCTTCCTCTCCATTCCAGGGGTTCTCATTTATTCCTCTTCATCTCCAGGGTCTTCCCAGTACAAACACATGCACACACACACCAGCAGGCATCAGCAGACACGGGCTGAGCTGAATGCTGGCTAAGGCTGCAGGGGAGCCCCAGAGAGAGGTAGGGCTGAACAGCTGGGTGAGGCAAAGGAAAGGAATCCAGCACCTCTGATACTAAGTTCCATGCCAGCCACCTCACTTGCATTATGTTTCATCTGTACAAGCTGGAAGGTAGTCAGCAGTGTCCTCTAAGTACTAAGGAGGGAACTGAACTCATAAAAGATGAAAGAACATGCCCAGAGTCACACAGGCTCCGAGTCTAGAGCTGGGATCCAAACCCAGGTCTCCAGACTTTATAGGGCCTGTGCTTTGCTGTGTCTTAGCAAACAGGTGGAACTGACAACCAAATAATCATGACCATAATCCTGAAAGCAAACACTTGTTGAACACAAAACATACCAGCTGCTGTTCTGAACATTTCCATCTAATTACTTAATCTCCAACTTAAGAGATAGGTACTGTGATGACCACTTTATTTGAACTGGGGAAGCAACAGAGGCCCTGATCAGAGCTCGGTAACTTGCTCACGGTCACCACTGCCAGGCAACCCCTACTGCCTGGCAGAGTACAGACTGAACAGACTGAAGCCTTTTCTGCTCCTCGGGATGCTTCCCCTCCTGCGTCCAGCCGCTGCCTCAGCAGCTCCCCGTGCCACCCCGGAGCACTGCGCCTGCTCCCTGTCGCTCTGCACGCAGGGGAAGGTGTCAGGTCACCATGACCTGGTTCACGTGAAGTAGGGATGAGGATTACTGTTAAGAAAGCAGGCTTGGGGAGGGGAACTTAGGCGTTTATTAGCAGCTGTGTGGGCACCTAGCCCCTAGCAGCACCTCCCATTTTGGCTTAGAATTCTGGGAAGAGCAGAAACCACGCTCCCACACGCTCAGCCTGGTCCACAGAAACTTGGCAGCCTGCTGTCTGTTTTGTCTTCTCATCCGCTAGAAATGCGCAGCTGAGGGGGGCCGGGTAAGGGCAGGCCTGCGTGCACGGCAGGGCCGGGCTGTGATAACAGGCCAGCAAGAACTTCTGTAGCCCCTTCCAGCTGCCGACCCATGCCCAAGTCAGGGAAAAAGCGTGTGATTTGCCCCCACTCAAGGTCCTTGGGGAGGTGGTAGGGAGAATGCCAAGGTGAATTCTGTGACTGATATGGCACAACCCAGGCTGGGTGCCTCAAAGCCTATCTCTACCACAAACCGGCCCTATGGGACCAGCGGCTGTGGGGCGATAAAGAATGTGGGAGGAATCCCTGTGGCAAACGGGAGTGGGAGGGCACCAGGAAGCTGATGAAGGCCACGAGGATCAGAGCAGGGCCTTTGAAGAAGGCGACACTCGTGCTTTCATTCTATTGTCTTTTCAGCTGTCCAAGACAGAAGCCAAAGAAGGGAGAGAAGTGAAGGCATGGAAGGACCTTTCCCAAATATCACTGGACCCCCACTTGTGTTATGACCACCTATACCGGGGTGCTCTCAAAAGCAGCTGGCTGTATTATAATCACCTTGAAGGTGAGTTTAAAAAATAGCTATCTCTTGGGGGTGCTTGGCTGGCTCAGTCGGTGGAGCGTGCAATACTTCATCTCAGAGTTGTGGGTTCAAAACCGGTATTGGGTGTGATTATTTACAAATAAAAAAATTAAAAAAAAAAAAAAGATCTCATCTGCTCTACAGGTCCGGTGGGAGTGGGGTGGGGTGGGGGCGGAGTCAGGAATGCATGTTTTTAAACAAATTCCCTGAGTTCTGCTGCCCAGACTTAGGAACCAGTGGTTTAACCCGCTCACCCCTATCCCCTCTGCTGACCCTTAGCCCCTCTCCCGCTTTGCAAAAGCCTCTCCGGTAACTCCATTTGAATGGCGTTCTAATGGCCTTGAAAGGAATGGGGAGCTCAGCTGACACCACACTGGCAATTAATTACACTGAATTCTTAGTCCATTAAATATTGTCTTTCCTTCCTACAGGAGGCTCCCCAGGGGGCAGAGATAGTGCCTGTTCTACCACTGTGTTTTCCAGCACACAGCACTGGGCCTGGCACGGAGCACACCCCCAATCAGTATGAGTGAAAGAATGGGGCCTGAACCCTCCCCGCCACGCTTCCCTTCCCTCTCCAACAGGCAGCCAGCCCCTCAGCACAGTTAGAAACCACAGCAATAAAGTGGGCTCAGAGGGTGTCACAGGGACCTGTGAAAACCCTTCACAAATGACTTTTTTTTGGTCTTACCCTCCCAACTGCCTAGCCCCAGGCAAGTACCAGCAAACCAGTTAGTTAAATGACTCATTGACTTGCTAATGAGATTGCTCTTGGGCCAGTTAAAGAAGACAATCAAAAGAACTGTCCCCGGGAGGGAGAAAACAAGCTTGGCAAAATGCAGAAGCATGCTGAAGCCAGGTGATTGGTTCTAGGAGTGCATTATAATATTCTCTTTTGTGGATATTTGCAAACGTTCTTAATAAACACTGAAATTTAAAAAATTAAACACAGGAAAAAGAGATGTCTCCAGGGACCTGGGCCAATTTTTCCAGAGTGAGAAGCTACACTTCTTTACTTTTGAGGTCCTGCCTGTTGACATTTCCCCACACTACCTCATTTTCTATCAATTCAATAATTGTTTACTGAGCACCTACCAGATACCAGGCATAGAGCTAAACTCGGGATACAGTGATATAGTGATAAGTAAGCCTCCTGTTCTAAAAAGCAGCTATACAGTCCATTGTCCAAGTGCTGACCCAGTTATGGTACCGTGGGAGTACACAGTTCCTCTGAGGGTTGAGGGTCTCCCTGGTTAGGAGTGGGAATGAAGTGGTCTGGGGTACTGATTCATGTGGCACGAGTACTGGGGGAGGCAGGGGTGAGGCTGGCTAGGCAGATAGGGGCATCTGCATAGCCGGCCATACTGTCATTAGGTGGGCAGGAGTCACTGAAGGGCTTTTAATAGTGGAATAGTGAGTGGTAAGACAATGATAGGTTGGACCAGGGAAGGAAACCCACACTTCAGAAATACTTAAGGGGTGAATGCATAGGAATTGGTGACTGATCAAATGAGCTGAGGAAGGGAAATGAAGGGGCCCACCTTAGAAAAAGAGCCAGTTTGGAGAAGTTATCCATCACCAATCAAGAAATCTGAGGTGTCTGTGAGACCACCAAGCAGAGGTAGAAGGGTGGAGGCCCTGTGGGATTCTTGGTATAGTTACCCCCCCAGGGCCACGTGGTCCCCACTGCTCCTTAACTCTCAGCAGGACTCTAGAGCAGGGTGGCCAACACCAGAACCCTTCCCATGAGGGCACACCAGGATCCAGCTGGCCCTTCCTCAGCCCAACATTTCTCTAAGTGGAATCAGGGATATATCATCCTAGGAATCCACTAGTTCTCGGAAGAAATGTTTTAGCTTCACATTTCCATTCTGATCTTGAGTAAGAGCACAGTGGCCTCCAGCAATCTAGACTTGCTCAAGTCCAGAGTCAGTGCCTTTGTCATACTACACATCACAGCCGAGTCAGCAAAGCATCATCCCCATCCACCATTTTACATTAAGTTTTACATTGGTTTCACAGTTACATTGGGAAACTGGTTATTTTACAATTTATAAGAGCAAAAGCAAGAAAGTTTTTTTTTTTAACCCAGTTTTTATACATGCTTAAGTGACATGACAGCTTAAGTGACATAATAATAAAAATGTATCAAGTTAACATGTTGCGGGGAGATGGGTCTGTGAAAAATAAATTAGAGAAACTGGCACATCACTCAGTTGTAAGAAATGGTGTCCCTGGGGCACCTGGGTGGCTCAGTCATTAAGCATCCGCCTTTGGCTCAGGTCATGATCCCAGGGTCCTGGGATCGAGCCCCACATCGGGCTCCCTGCTTGGCGGGATCCTGCTTCTCCCTTTCCCACTGCCCCCTGCCTGTGTTCCCTCTCACTGTGTCTCTCTCTGTCAAATAAATAATAAATTTTTAAAAATCTTAAAAAAAAAAAAAAAATGGTGTCCCTGACCAAAAGCAATTTCAATGCAGTGTGGCAACACAGGTAGGAGGTGCACCAGGAACACAGGAGTAGTGGCCTCAGACCTAGTCCAAGAATGCTCTCATGAGGAAATGCTTACATGGAGTGAGCCAAGTTTAGAAAAGTCATGAAGAAGCCTAGGGAGAAGGTCTGGAGGAACAGAGGGCCGAAGGTTCACAGGTCCTGGGGACGGGAAGAACGGAGAGATGAAGCTGGTAAGCTCCTGAGTTTGCATTCTCTGGAAAGGACAGTGGGGTCCATGGTGTGTGCGACACAATCAGATTTGTACTTTTGTGTTCAGGAGAATGGACTGAGGGAGTGGAGTTAGACGGGATGCTGTCCCAATTCATGAACTGCTTAATAAAGCCCATTAAAAAAAAAAGAGGAGAGAACGGACTGAGGGAAAAAGGCTGGAGGCAGAAGACCAGCAAAGAGCCCATCGAGGTGATCCTGGTTTTCAGGCTCAAGCCTTTGGCCTGTGTTGTTCTACATCCTGTGAGTTCCAGTCTTCTGGGAGGCTTGCTGACACTCCAGGCTGGCTTAGAAACACTGTTTGGGTCTCTGCTGCCTTCTGTCCCAGCAACACTTTTTACAAACACGAATGGCTAGGTCCTCCCCACTTTCCCATCCTAGACTAGACACCTTGAGGGTGGGAATGTATCTGGTTCCTCTCTGGGACCTCAGCTCTGGTTGGGAGTGCTTGGTACACTGTGAGATGCTAGGCACTATCAGACACCTGGGGTCAGTCCAAGACCTGTGATCTAGGAGATGAGGATGACAAGAGCAAAAACACCCACTCTGTGCTCACCTCACCGTGAGCCTTGAATCTTTCTTCTCCATCCCTCTTCCTTATATGCTATGCCAAGTACCACGGTCATCTCCTTTTTTCAGATGAGGAACGTGAGGCTCAGGGAGAGGCAGTGGACCTGGCCAACATCCAGGCTTCTTCTTGTGGAGAAGATGGGATCTGAGTCAGGCTCTGTAACCCTAGAGCCTTTCTCACAGACAGACTCCCATTAACCACTGCCCAGAAAGTATAAAGTCAGGTGACAGGAGTTCTGAAGGCTGAATACTCAGCGTGAGGCATCATGGAGAAGGGATGGGAACTGGGGAGACAAGGGAGGTTCCAAGGTGGGGGCGGGGTAAGGGAAGGAAGGAGAGTTAGCACCACAGATTCAAGTAAGGAATCTATTAAAGGCTAGCAAAAGAGCTAGAACAGGAGGCTGAGGGCCTTGGGGTAGAGGCTTAGCCGGCTCATAAAGGGAGCGCTGGGGACTCATGGGTCAGGGGATGGGCCTTCGCTAGACTGGGGGCCTGCTGTGTCGCCCAGGTAGATGAGAGCCAAACTGCAGTGATAGTCCAGGGTGTCTACCTCAGCGCCATGAACACAGAACAAAAACACCTATAGGTCAGCAGCCAGGCAGTTCAAAGATGATATCTTGCACTCTGATGAAAAACGGACAAGAGATTTTCAGGTATGCTCATGTGGATGGTTTACAAAGCACTTTCTTTCTTTTTTTAATATTTTATTTATTTACTTTTAGAGAGTGTGTGGGAGGTGGCGGAGTGGGAGTACGGGCATGGGACAGAGGAGGGAGAGGGACAGACAGACTCCATGCTAAGCGTGGAGCCCGATGTGGGGCTTGATCCCAGGATCCTGAGATCAAGACCTGAGCTCAAATCAAGAGTCAGAAGCTCAACCAAGCCACCCGGGTGCCCCATCTTTTCTTTCTTTCTTTTTTTTAAAAGATTTTATTTTTAAGTAATCTCTACACCCAATACAGGATGTGCATTCACAACCCCAAGGTCAAGAGTCACGTGCTCCACTGACTGAGCCAGCCAGGTGCCCCCAAAGCACTTTCACATCCAGTTCTGAATCTGCTCCTACAACAATTCGGGAGGACTACAAGCAAGGGAGGATTCGAACCCCCACTTTACAGAGGAAGAAATCAAGATGTGGTCCTTTGCTCCTATGTGGCAGAACTGGGTTTTGAACCCAGAACCTCTGAATTCTGCCCTTTCCTTGGCCATGATCCCAACTCATTTTTTTAACTACACTGCAGACCACTAGCTGCCCTTCTGCAACCAAGTCACTAAACCCTGCTCTGGGGCCAGGGGCTGAATTCCAAACACTCAGCGCCTTCTCACCTTCCCCACGGCCTCCACTGTTCATGACACCAAGACATTCATAGTGGTGCCTTGCCTCTTCAGAACTCCCCCAGATCTAGCTGCAGTCACCTCATGTCATGGTCTTCCCTTGAGGCAGAGTGGGTGTTGTCACGTGGCCACACAGTGTATCAGCGACAGGACTTAGGACTAGAACCCAGGTCACCTGCTACCTGCTCCTTACCTGCAGCACGGACAGGTTGGTCTGTCCAGAAAGGCTCAGCTTCTCCTGCTCTGAGGGGTAGGCGTTGTAGCGGTGCAAGTACAGCCAGTCCCGGAGGATCTTCACCGATTCTTTGGGCAGGTTCCCTCTGCGCTTCCTCTTGCCTGCCAGGGAGAGGAGGCCTTCGTCCTCACCCAGATCACTGTCTGACATGGTGTCTAGGGGCTAGGTGGATCTTGGGCAAGCCTGGAACAAGTGACAGAGGGGATGGGGCCATTATTACCACCCGTTCCCTTTTACCCTTTCCCTGTCTCCAAACACATCATCGTTACAGCCTGGGACACCGAAATGGAGGAATAGTAAATCAAAGTCTCAGGCCATACCTTCGCCTGGGCAACCTAGAAGGGATGAGTCTGAGATGGCTTTCATTTCATGCACTCAGTAGAGGACTACTGAGATAAGTGGCAGCTCTTTAAGAAGCAGTACCAGACTACAAAGAATTTTAGCTACCCCTGAGGTCTGTTTTCCATGCGCTGTACTGAGCACGTCACACATCTCAGTCAAATCCTTTTAAGACAGATACTACTATTATCGTCATTTTATAGATGAGAAAATCAAGACCCAGAGAGAACGCCACCTAATTTAAACAGTTACCATGTGACCCAGTAATTTCACTCCTAGACATCTACCAAAGAGAAATGAAAACCTGCGTTCACACAAAACCTTGAACACAAACGTTTATAGCAACATTATTTGTAATAGCCAAAAGGTGGAAAGAACCCAAGTGTCCATCAGTGGAGGAATGGAAAAACGAAATGTAGTCCATCCACATGGTGGAGTATTATTTGGCCATGTAAAGGAACTAAGTCCTGATCCATGCTACAGTGTGGATGAACCTTGAAAATATGCTAAGCGAGAGAAGCAAGTCATGAAAAATACATATGAGTCCGTTTTAATGACCAATTTAGAACAGGCTGGGGGAGGAGCCTAGAAGGAGGACAACTAAAGGGTATGGAGTTTCTTTCTGAGGTGATAAAAATGTTCTAAAATTGACTGTGGTGGTGGTTACATAGTTGTGAGTATACTAAAACCACTCATTTGTTTGCTTTAAATGGGTAAGTGGTAGGATATGTGAGTTACATCTCCATAAAGCTGTTATGAAAAACAAAAACAAAAACAGAAAACCCTTCACCTCCAGGATAGGGTATGGAAGCAAGGTTTGGACCGACGTTTGCCAACAACAACAACCAACTCTCGCCAGCCTCCCCAAACTCTAGCATTTTGCTGCCCAGGTCTGGAAAGTCTATTAATCACCACGGTCCTACCGCAATGGGTGTTTCACATTTACTGCACCTACTGTGCCCTGCAGTGTTGAGTCATCCCTATTGGTTGTCTCAGACATTCTCTTTTGTCATCCAGCCCCTGGCTGGGTCCATGAATCAATTCCTCAAAAATCCAGATAAATGAGCAAGGCTGGACTCTGGTTCTCTCCCCTTGGCTGTGTGACCTTGGCAAGTGTGCTCTCTCCTCTCTGGGCTTGAGCCCCCTCTTCACCTGTCAAATGTAGGAAGGGGTTTCCCTAGACAACCCAACTCAGTTACTCATCCCGACTAACTTCTGGTTCACACATGCAAAAGAGATTTACATTTTAAAACCAAAAGTTCCAGGGCAAGCTAATGCCAGAATCTCAAGGCTCCTCCCTCCTCAGCCTTTTAACAGCTACCCAGCAGGCTGGGCCAACAGACTCTGGCATCTCCCAGGTTTTGTTTCCTCGACTTGGGCCTGAGCCCAGATATCTGGGCTGGCTCGGCCAGGCTTTCGAGGGAAGGGTCTACCCTCCCAGCCAGGCCACCAGGAGGTGAGACAGGCACTGGTTAGAGGTGCCACTCCTCAGAGAACACCAACAGCAGGCTGCTTTCTGAGGTCAGGTTTCTGGGACTTAGTGGGCCAGGGCAGTTGGGATCTGGGCTCAGGGATGCAGTCTTGGCAGGCTATGAGAAGTTTACTCAGGGTTATCTGTATAAATTCCACCCTGGCTGCCAACCAAGTCCCAGTCTGCAGGGTTCCTAGGGTGGCCGGTGGAGATGACCCCTGAGCCTACAACAGACCTCTCTCCACCATGTGTCCTGCACTCCAGCCAGCTTACAATGGGGGGAGGTTTCCCACATACACACCCCACACTCACACCCAGACACACAGACTGACACACACACACACGCCCTCACCACCAGGCAACTCTGTAGCAGTGCTCAGATAACAGGCACCAATCCATCCCTTAGCTCCTTGAACCACCAAGGTTTTCACCGACAAACACAGCACACACACAGCTTACAGAGCCCACGTCTAGCACGAACAACTGGTACCCACGAAACCAGCCCAATTCCTGGCTATATGCCTACCCACAAACTCCAACCGACCCGCCCACCCACGATCTCTCAGACTGAGGAAACTCCAAACGTCATCACACCAGCGATCAATTCTTACCCCAACTGGCCCGTGGCAGCACCCTCACGACAGGACACCCGGTGCACCCTCCTATACACTCCACGACGCCGACCTGCAGCCACTCCCGCATGCACTTTCTGACAACTCCCCCAGCTCCACCGGACACTCCCCCGGGCCGCGCACTCACGCTGCATTCCCAGCAGTTCACACAAAGCGCGCAGTCTCCCCCGCGGCCCAGACCGAGTCGGAGCACATGGCTCCCGGGGCGGCGGGGAATCGGCCTGCGCTCGGGGCGCCCGCACCCCCTCAGCCCCCTACCCCGCGCTAGACTCGGCGCCCCAGCTCCCCCGCCGGCCCGCAAAGTAGGTGGGGCGGGGGCTCTGCAAGAAAGAAAACTCACGTGTCTGTCCCGGGGCAGGAAAAAGTTTGGTTCCCACCCCCTTCCCCCGTCGCTTGGCGCTGTCTGACTCTTCGGGGCGCGGGGCTGGCCGAGCCTGCGCGCTCGGCTTTGTGCTCCGAACTCGGCCCGGAGGGGGAGGGGAGGGGGCTGGGCTCCCACCTCCGCACCGCCCCCCCCCCCCAGCCCTGCGCCCAGACTCCATGTTGGCCGCCCCCTACCCTAGAGAACTGCGCGCTTCCCCCGCGGGAGGCTCGGCTCACGCTCGGCCTGCCCGAGGGTCCCGGCGCGCACAAACTTTCTTCGGGTTGCCGGCCCCACGCGCCCCGCTTCCTTGGCCCGCCTGGGAGTGACAGATGCCTCAGAGACAGACTTTCCTTTGTTCCAAAGGAAAGGGGAACTCGCGCGGGCTCCCCAGCCCCCCCAGCCCCGGGCCCTTGCCGCTGCCCCCACCCGCAGCTGTCACTATCGGCGGCCCCCACCTCGGCTCGGCCCCCGCGGGGGGGGCCGGAGGGGGGAGAGGCTGCTGGCGGTTAGCAACGTGCACTTTTTAAACCAAACAAACCCGCCCCCCGCGCGCTCACCCCGGCCCGGGGCAGGGGCGGCCCTCTCACGGGCTGGGATCGTACGGAGCTGGGCCCCCCAGAAGGGCCTCGAGAGAGCTTCCAACTTGGGGGGGGGACGGTGCGACATTCCCCCCCCACCGGCCCCCGCCCGCCCCCCAGCAGTCGCGGCTCACAAACACCAGAGCTTACACACCCACAATCGCACGCGCCAGGACGACGCCCCCTCCCCCGCCCGGCCGAGAAAAAGAAACTTTCCAAGTTGTCCGCGCGCCCCCCGCCCGACTCTGTCCCACTCCTGCGCCCCGCACTGACTTTTCCGAGCGGCTTTTCCGTCCACGCGGCCCCTGGCTCGGAGCCGAGCGTCTTGGCAGGGGGCGGGGGGCGCCGGGGGAGCGCGCCGCGTACCTGCCGGGCCTGACACTCGGCCTGACAGCTCGCGGCTGGAAAGCACCTCGCGGCCTGACGTCAGATCCCCTCTCCTCCCCCCCCCCCCCCCCCCCCCCCCCCCCCCCCCCCCCCCCCCCCCCCCGCGCTTTCCTCGCCCTCCCCCACTCGCCCGGAGGGAGAAAACAAACTTTGCGCGGAGCGCGGCGAGCTACGCCCACCCCCCGCGGGGCGGGCCGACAGCGGCCGGGGGCTTCGTCCCGCCCACCGCGCCCGGAGGGGGCGGGGCCGGGCGGGCACCTTCTTCCTGCGCCCACCCCCACCCGCAGGAATGCCACATGGCCTCCGAAGAGGAGCGGTGGGAGCCCGGCTTCGGGAGAGTCCGCTCGGGGGCAGGAAGTGGCCCGTTCCTCCTCTCTGGGAGCGTTTCCGGAGCGCCTACTGTGTGCTCCAGGCTGGGAGTGGGGGCCGTTTGCCGAGGGGTGAAGTAATGCAAAGCCTAACGTTCGTGAGACCGCTGCCTCCAGCACGTCTCCCGCCGGCGGTGTGATGGCTCCCATCGCAGCGGGAGGAAACTGAGGCCCAGTGAGCGGGGGGCTGGGGGGGGGGCGTTTACCCCAGCTGGGGAGGACCGGGCTCTGTACGCGACGCCTCAGCGGCCGCTAGAGTCGGATAAAAGGCTGCCTAGGACACAGCCCCAAAGCACGCAGCTCCTGGGTCTAGACACAAGTGGCGGCCTGAGGTAAAAACGGCGCTCGAGGAGTGTTTCTCACACAGCGATGCGGAGCGGGGCCCCTGGCGTGTACCATCCTGTGTTGCAGTCCTTGGCTTCTAGGGCTGGTGCCGTTACCTACCGGCTCCGGGCTTCCCCACGAGCTGCAGAGGCTCTGGATTTGGCTTCTGCTCACAATCAGCCGGTGTCGTTGGGCCCAGGTGGGTCCGCCGGCGGAGCCCAGGCCTTACCCCACGGAGGCCGACCACCTGACCAGACGCGCCCAGCGCCCCTCGCCCGTGTGTCTTTTCTGGGCTTACCTCACCACACCCAGCTCCAGGATGTGTCTCCTCCAGCCGTGCCAGGACTCTCGTCCCTGCGCTTGGCTCCGTACCGCAGTGTGAAACACCTGGTGGCCAACCCCGCTCCGCTTTCCCACCAGAACTTGTGTTCCTCAGAGCGCAGCAGCACAGAGCCTAAAGCCCGGCAAGGCCTTTTCTGGGCCTCTGGTTCCTCATCTGGTCCTAGATATCTAGGACCCTTGAGCAGCCTTGAAATGGCTTTTGGTCCTGATGGCCCTTAGGCAGTGGAGAAATCTGAAAATAAAAATTGAGTTCTTTCCAAACAGGCCTTGAGCCCATCAGAATGCTGATTAAATGATCGTGCAGGTGCACCTGGGCTCCCAATTGAAGCCAGATTTCCCGGCAACAGCCCAGAACCTAGTTAGCCACACTACCCTCCTCCACACTACAGCAGCACCCAGAATGCCAGTGCCACTACCCACCATGTCACAGATACGGAGACTGAGGCCCAGTGTGGAGGCCCCAAATGATTTCTTGGGGAAAGTGGTGCTCCTGTCTTAGAGAAGAGAGGCTTGGGGAATCTTAGGTAAAGGTAAAACTATGGGTCCTGGTCACTAGGCTCAAAGATTATGTGGGGCAGGGACCTTCAGGAGGGAGGGGTCTGGAAGGGGAAAGGGGTGCATCCAGGTGAGCCTGGAGCTATGACTGTCCCCAACACTCAATGCCAGGCATTGTGGTCCAGTGCATGAGAGCCAGACTTTGCTATTTGGGGGAATTCACTAGGGACCTGGGCTATGGCCCAGAGACCTCCCTACAAGTTCTGTACCCCACCCCCCCACGCCAGGGCTTCCCAAGGTTTGTGCTAGGTGGGGTGCTCTGGGGCAAATAGAAGGCACTAGCTCTTCCTCCCATAGCTGGGCCACCTGGGATCTGGATAACAAAGCAGCTTTAGGAGCCCCTCCCCAGACTTCCTGGAGGGGGAGGGGAAGGGCTGGATGTAAAAGGAGGCTGGGAGTGTGTCAGGATTGCTCTTTGTAAACGGATTTCCCCAGGTAAAGCCTAAATACTAGTGGACTCTGAGAATTACCCCATAAAGTTTTTCAACTAGTAAGTATCAGAATGTAAAATGCACGCATTCTCTCAAGCCAATAAGCCCACTTCCAGGAATCTATCATGACAAATAATTGCAGAACAATGATAAATACTTATACAAGAATGTTCTTTGCAGCACTGTTCCTTCCGGTGGAAGATTGCAGACTGCTACATACCCCTGGCCAGGAGCTGACTTCTTACAGCACCTCTGGGACCTTTCTACAGCAGGATATTGTAATGGGGTAAGTCTGTGCACACTAACCTGGGAGAGAGCCAAGGTGTATGCGTTGTGACAATTTGCAGTGTCCCAGCAGAAAAGAGTTTTGGATATCCTTGGTACCTTTATGGGAAATCCTTTAATAACTGGGAAGTTATTCTTACAGCCTTTTTCTCTCCAGGTTTGCTATTCACCTCCACTTTTCACATATGAAAAAAACTGGGTCCGTGAGGGAAGGGACTTGCCTGATAAGCTGGGGTCCTGACTCCTGGGACAGATCTGGGGTGGGGCCTGGATGGGAAGGACCGATAGGTATGGTGTCAGCCCCTAGACTCACCTGGTTGCTTCCTGTAGGCCATTTTAGGAAAAGGTCCAGAAACAAGACCCCTCAGGCCAGAAAAGGGACTGAATAGGTTGCATAAGGCAACTCCTGCTTTTGTACTGGAAAACCCAAATAAAAGGCTGCTACTGATGGGGCTCCCTGTTGTGCCTGTTTCTGGTGAATTTGGTTACCACTTAGGTAAAAATAAATGTCATGTAAATCCACTTTCATTAAAGAAAAAAAAGAAAAGCCACTGCCTTTTTTACCTGGGTTTGATGGAAGTAGGGTAAGGGACCAATATTTACCTGGAGCCAGTTGGAGCCAAGGCTAGATTTGGCAACATAAAGGAAATGGGGTTCTGTGGGGTGGAGGGGAAGAGTCCAGAAAAGTCCAGGGTCAGTGAGTAATTCAGGAAACAGTGGAATCAGTCAGCTGGTAGGGCCTTGAAGGCCAGGGTACGGAATTTGGATTTTGCCTTGTGGGCAGTAGGGAGCTTTGCAGGTTCCTGGACCTGCTGAGGAGAGATGGGAAGTGATTGGCTGCAGGGTGGTCAGGTGAGGCAGCTCTGGGTAATTGAGGCCAAATTGACGGAGACCTGTTTCTGAGGGTGAGGAGGTTTGTGGTTCTCTTCTGTGAGGTTCAGCATTATCATCTGATGTGGATTTCAGCTTATCAGCATCTTCCTTTTGAAAAGATTTGTATTCTGTTGATCATTCACAATTTGCTTAGCTTTCTCCTAGTTTGAGATACCCACTCGTCGAATTTTTGAGTGCTTAGTGTTTGACAGGCTGTGTGCTTGAAGCTGGGGAACCCACTGCCTGGGCTATCAGGGATGTTTTGGGCAACAGTGCCAGCTGATGGAAGGGGTTTGGGGTTTGGAGCTACTAGCCAGATGATGTAGGCAAATCATCCACCCCCCCCTTTTTAAAAAGATTTTTAATTTCTTTGTCATAGAGAGAGGGCTCAAGCAGGGGGAGCTGGCAGGCAGAGAGAGAAGCAGGCTCCCGCTGAGCAAGGAGCCTGTTGTAGGACTGGATCCCAGAACCCTGAGTTCACAACCCGCCAAAGGCAGAAGCTTAACCAATTGAGCCACTCAGGTACCCCCCCCACCCTTTTAAAAGATTTTATTTATTTGAGAGACAGAGATAGTGACAGAGAGCATCAGCCGGGAGTAGAGGGAGAAGCAGGCTCCCCACTGAGAAGGGAGCCTGATGTGGGGACTTGATCCCACTACACTGGGATCATGACCTGAGCTGAAGGCAGCCACTTAACTGTCTGAGCCACCCCGGCACCCTTATACAAACCCTTTGAGCCTTCCTTTTCTCATCTCTGGAAACAGCCGGATTTGGTGAGGGCCAAGGGCAGCTGAGGGAGAAACAGACGCCCTGCTGAGCAGGGAGCCTGATGGAGGGCCCATCCCAGAATCCTGGGATCGACCTGAGCCACCCAGGTGCCCCTAAATGATTTCTTTTAGGGCCTGTTGGAAAGCTGTAGGCAAACAAGCACTTACATATGTGTGTGTGTATATATACTGCTTTCAGAATCATTTAAGCCAGGGTGCCTGGGTGGCTCAGTCAGTTACATTTATTTGAGAGAGAGAGAAAGAAAGATCTATCTATTTGAGAGAAAGAAAGATTTCTTTGAGAGAGAGAGAGAGAGAGAGAGAAAGATCTCGCACAAATGACACAGAGGAAAAGGAGACTTCCTGCTAAGCAGGGAGCCTGATGTGGGCCTTGATGTGGGGCTGCTTATGACCTGAGCCAAAGGCAGATGCCATACCGACTGACATATATATATATATATATATATATATATATACACACACACGCAATACTTTATATATATGTATATGTATATATGTAAGTGGGGAGTCATATAATATAAATATATACAATATTATATCTATATGTATATTGTATATATAAACAAGCATATATATAAACAAGCATTTATATATATATAAATGCTTGTTTGCCCACAGCTTTTTAAAATTTTTATCTTTGCTGGTTTAAGTGCTATGGACTATTATCTGAAAGTTGTGTATGTCTACATGACCTTCCTAACAGGCCAGGCTAATCTTTATTCTGGCCATGCATCATTATCTGATTTTCTTCCTGTGCAAACAAAGGGGTATTTCAGATGGGTCCAGGTTATAGCATTTTAACTCAGGGGTGTTGGTGTGGTAGGGATGTGGCAGTGATCTGTGTGTAGGGACACCACACGCGTGTAGGGACACCACAGTCTCTTAGCTTGATGCCCTCTGGCTTCTAGACAAAGATTAAGTAGTGAGTGTTGTGGGTTTTTTTTTTTTTTAAGATTTTATTTATTTATTTGACAGATACAGATCACAAGTAGGCAGAGAGGCAGGCAGAGAGAGGAAGAAGGCTCCCTGCTGAGCAGAGAGCCCGATGTGGGGCTCCATCCCAGGACCCTGAGATCATGACCTGAGCCGAAGGCAGATGCTTTAACTCACTGAGCCACCCAGGCGCCCCAAGTGTTGTGTTTTTAAATTGGGGATTAAGAAAATCACTTTTGATTTTCTGGTAGTCTGCTCCTCTACCTGTGAGCCACTGGGTATGGCACCTCCAATCATGGCTACAGAAGTCAGCCAGGCAGAGTTGGCTATTGTGGGGCTTGGGAGACTTACTAACTGTATTTTTCCTCATTTCTTTTATGAGGGTCTGTGTGATAGGGTAGATGGGGATCAGAACCATTTGGCATAGTTTTATCTTTTTTATATGTGGGTATTTCCTTCTCCTGGAGTTTTTTTTTGTTTGTTTGTTTTTTTAAGATTGATTTATTTGAGAGAGAGTGCAAGCGAGCTAGCATGAGTGCAGGGGTGGCAGAGAGAAGCAGAGGGAGAGAGAATCTCAAGCAGACTCCCCACTGAGCGCAGAGCCCGATGAGGGGCTCCATGAAGGGTTTGGTCTCACCATCTGGAGATCATGATTTGAGCTGAAACCAAGAGTTGGATGCTTAACCAACTGAGCCACCCAGGCGCCCCTGGGGTATGTTTTTTAATTCCAAAAGCAATGTACTGTGTTAATTAGGGCAAGTTAATCAATGCAGGAAGCATATAGGGACAAAATGAGTTACCCTCCCCACACACCCCATCCATTCCCACCTTCTAGTACTGGCAGTGCTAAGAGGTATGTAGCCTTTCTCACCTTTCTCCATGTGCAAATACATACACACATCCTGAGAGGTGTTTTCTCTCCTCCCTCTAATTTACGTCCCCCCAACCCCCGATTTCAGCAGGGCTGCAATTAACATTTCCTATGTAAATATCTTTGCAATTTTGAGAATTTCCTGAAATAGATTCTCTGAAGTGGAATTACTGGGACAAAAAGCAAGAATGGATATTTTTAGGGCATAAACCCAAAGCACTCTCCATGGCAGTGTTTGCGATGTTTGAGTGCTTGCTTACCCTCGTGCTCAGTCGCAGGAAGACTTAGCAATTTTGTGGAAATCTTCTTTGATGTCTGAAGAGTAGCCTTTGGTTCTTTTAATCTGCATTTTTTTTTTTAAACTATTGGTGAGGTTGAATATCTTAACATTTTGTAACTATTGGGCATTTGTCACCTGTGAATTATCTGCACATCTTTTGAAATCTTGAGTTTCTTTCTGACTTGTAAGCACTTTTCAGTATGAAGGATGCCTAACCCTAGTTTATTATATTTATTGCAGGTAGGTTTTTTCCCTCAAGATTATTGTTCACCGTACTTTTTTTCTAAGCTGGGCTATTTTTGTTTTGTTTATTATTTTTATTCATTTTTATTTTTAAAGTTTTATTTTATTTAAATCCAATTAATTACATTGAGTGTATGATTAGTTTCAGAGGTAGAGTTCAGTAATCTATCAGTTGCATATAATACCCAGTGTTCATTACGTGATGTGCCCTCCTTAATGCCCATCACTCCCCATCTTCTACCTCCCCCTTCCCTCCAGCAACCCTCAGTTTGTTTCCTATAGTTAAGAGTCTCTTATGATTTGTCTCCCTCTCTGATTTTATTTTGTATTTTTCTCTCCCTTCCCCTATGATCCTCTGTTTTGTTTCTTTTTCCTTTTTTTTTTAATTAAAAGATTTTATTTATTTATTTGACACAGAGAGAGAGAGAGAGAGCAGGAACACGAGCAGAGGGAGTGAAGCAGGCTTCTCGCTAAGCAGGGAGCCGGATGTGGGGCTCGATCCCAGGATCCTGGGATCATGACCCAAGCCAAAGACAGACGCTTAACGACTGAGCCACCCAGGCGCCCCTCTGTTTTGTTTCTTAAATTCCACATATGAATGAAATCATATGATCCTTGTCTTTCTCTGACTGACTTATTTCGCCCATGCGAGGCTCAAACTCACCACCCCCAGATCAAGAGTCACACACTCTTCCAACAGAGCTGGCCAGGCTCCTGTTTTGTTTATGTTTAAACTTTTCACTTGGTCAAATATCAATCTTGTGCCATTGCCCAAATAGCTTGCTTTTGGGTTAGGAAAGAATACAAGCAATCAAAGGATATTTACTTGCACTTTTTGATTTTGTTCCTATAAGGCCTAATTTTTAACATTTAACTCTTTACTACATCTGGACTTGATTTTGGTTTACAGTGTGAGGCTAAGTGTCCCAATAACTTTTTTTTTCTGAATGGCATACCATTTCTTACCATCTTTCACATATTTTTGGATCTGTGATGTCACCTTTTCCAAGCCAGTGAGTTCTTAAAGCTGTGTTTCCTGGTGTGTCTCATGGAGGGAGTATCTTGAGACTACTACTTTGGTGGATGAAAAGACAGATTTCCGCCAGGGAAGGAAAGCCTTTGAATTTCTGTGATGAGACAGATTCTCTCCGTGAAACTAATGACTTTTTGCTTTAAGGACCCTCATTCTTCTCTCTTCCAAGGCCCTGTAAGAGGTCATATGTTTCTAGGAAATGTACAAAATTAAGAAATTTTCATTGTAGGAACACCTGGGTGACTCATTCGTTTAAGTGTCTGCCTTCAGCTTAGGTCATGATCCTGGTCCCAGGGTCAAGCCTCACATGGGGTTCCCTGCTCAGCATGGGAGAGTCTGCTTCTCCCTTTCCTTCTGCTCCCCGCCCCCAGCTTGTTCACTCTCTCTCCCTCAAATAAGTAAATAAAAATCTTAAAAAAATTTTTTT